GGACTAAAATATTTCATTTACAGATGGCCCCTTGAGCCTAGATAACCTGTGTGCTCCTATCATCAACGTATGTCATGATATGTGTTTCCTTAATTTCCCGATTTCAAGTTTAGGCATTAAATGGGCTTCAATGTGTTATAGGTACGATCAGAAAATTTTTTTTAGAAATATTCCAAGCAGGTCCGCCCCTATATGAAGAAATGAATAAGAAAGGATACCTCTTGCACTTATTCCCTTGATTCAAAGCTCAGGAGCGTTGTATTTAAAAGCAAAGCTCTCCGTTTAAAAATACACTAAGCAGCCCCGCTCTAAATTTTACATTGTTGAAAGGCGTATTCTATCTACCATTCACTCCCGTCATTTAAGTGCAAACATTGAAAGGAGCATAAGTGTTATTGTCTTACGCAAAGACAAATACGTTAGGCAGCCACGCTTTCCTATGTATACTATAATGAACGCACGAATCTATTTCTCACTTACTCCCCTGCGCTGAGCAACCACGTTTCTGTATACGCAACACTCCCAAACAAAGAAATTTCGTTTTCACTGAGGCTTCAGAAGGAGGATAGATTAGATTGTACTGACAACATTTGAATCAGAAATGCCCTAATTAGCTACGTTCGTATACGTATACTGCCAAGCCACGGGAGATTCTCTTCTAAGCTGATCGCTTAATAAATAAAATGCGTTCTCCATTTAGGTAACATATTACTGCGGCTTCTTTCGCACCTATTCACATATTTACCTATGCACTTCTCCACCTTTTTAATTTAGAAGGGTATCTTCCGGTTAATGTAAACATTTCCTTCAGAAATGTGTACAGTAGGCCGTCGATTAACGTGACATTTATTAGCGTATCTCGAGTCGAAAGAGAGGGGCAGGAGATTAAAGTACACAAACCGTTAAGACAAACATGTAATTATTGACATACTGACTGCGTAAAGTGAATAGTGAACTCATGTGTTAAAAAGCAACGGAACGGGAATAGTGAACAGAGGAGGAATGTCTGTGTGTTTACTGACAGCCAAACGTTCCGCGCTAGTGGATAACTTAATAAAAATAATTCCGATCAATGTGTGACGCTTTACCTCTGCTATTACGTTGAACCTGATTCTCCAGATAACAGTGCAGATGTTAGAAGTGATAGCCTTGGCAACCATAGCATTACGTATAGAAGGCCATAGAGGATACCCCTCAGCATACCCGCTCGTTTAAGCTACATTAGCTATGATTGTACGCCAATTAAAAAAAAAAAAATTTTAAGAGACTCTTATTGACGCGCATACGACTCCTAGATTGAGTGGTAAAAGATGACAATTTCAAAGTGTGAAGTGCAGCTACAACAACTAATGCTAATTTGGAGTGGAAGAAGCAACCGAAAAGGAACAGCTACATATGACAAGGTTTAGAAGGGCAACAGATGTAATTTAATAAAAAAGCATAAATTTTTGATAATTTTTTCTTAACGATAAACATCTGAGCTTCATATACCTATCTATATACGTAGTCTAAGTTCGTTTTATTGGTTCGTTTTATTTCACAATTCTCGTTACTTACATATCCCAGAAGAAGAACATTTTATCGTAAATGCAAAAGCTTCTCATTTGCAATCATTTGTTCGAAAATAGTAATCAATTTATTATTAGCCGCTGTTGTTATTGTAAAATAATATGAATGCATCAATATAAGATGTATATATTGGTAACTACTATTCCTGTTGTTATTGTTGTTGTTGTTGCTGCTGTTATTATATATCAATGTACATAGGTAAATAAAGAAATTTTTTAGCTATACGCGGATTGGCTTAAAATCATTTTAACCAACCACAAAACGTTGATTAAGTTTTGTTGTGCTTGTATATATGAGTTAATATACAATTATATAAACATAATATGTATATACAATATATATATGTATGCATTTTTATATGCACGTATATGTATGTAATGGACAGTTGCACAAAACCACAGCTGCAAATATACCATACATAAGTATCGGTTGGAATTAAATTAATAATAAAAAAATATATATTTATATATATATGTAGATATAAAAAAAAAAAAAAAATGAGTAAGAGAAAGACAAAAAAAAAAAAAAAAAAAAAAAAAAAAAGAAAAAACTAAAAGCGAAGAGAACGTAACAACTGTTCAGTCGTACATGTATATATGGAATATATAATAATAAAATACAAACAACAAAAATATTAAATGCAAACAGAAAAGAGAGCAGAACCAACAAATGCACAAAAGCAACAACACCAAAAAAAAAAAAACAACAAATTAATATAATTGCAAAAAATTTACATTTTATGCTAAATACACAAGCAACACAACAGCAACAAACAACAGCAACAACAATAACAACAGTAGCAGCAACGGCAACAACAACTATAACAACAACAACGACAACATGAACAACAGTAACACCGACATAGCCACAGCTGTACTGCTTTACACGATAAAAGCGCTTTATATGATAAAAGCGTAGTGTAGAAGTGTAGCATGTTGTGTTGCATGGTATGCTGGATTTGTTTTTTTGCTGTTTGCATGAATTTGTCCAGTACGAATGGTATTTTGGCATAACCACGTTGTTTGTTGTATTTTTGTTATTTATTTTTTATTTTATTTTTTTTTTTTTTTTTATTTTATTTAAACTGAATTTTTAAATAAGTGGAGAATCAATGGAAAGATAAAAAAAAGGTGGGAGTTTTTTATTTCTCTGCTTCCTGCTGTTGTTGTTGCTGCTATTGTTGTTTATTTTATTTAATTGTAAGATTAGCATAATATTTAATTAAAGTATAGCAACAGCAACAACATTTACCTCGACAAGGCAAAGCTGAGGCTCTTTTTTTTTTATTTAAATTATGAAAACTTTCCGTTTAATTGAGATTAAAAATGCAAGAATGAAAAGATTGTAATCCTCTGTTTTTTTGGGAACGGTGTTAAGCAGAGGACAAAAGCTTAACGTAAGCGAAAATAATCGACTATCTATCTATAATGCAAGAGGAAATGATTCTCGACTTATGTATGAATATTTTGCTGCTAATAACGGCCCTCTTATAGCTGATCAAGCACGTGCTGGCACTGCAGTTTTCGATGACTTTGCGAAACGTTGATATCCAGGAACCGTTTAAGCAACGGCTGTTGTTTATTTATACCATGACCCATGTTATAACTGTAGATGCCTTGCTTTGCGAATAAAAACAAGTCTGGTGGCATTGGAGGGTTTTCTATAGTACCCTGAAGTAGCACTTTTATCGATCTTCGCATAGAACTCTGATAAAGAAATCGGGAAGAATGCTTTGGACCTAATATAAAACGAACTTAGCTTCATT